AAGGTTGAAACTTTATTACTAAGCAAAAATCTCACATACGAAAATTTCGTTTCAGTGGCACTTTAACTGAAATGGCACAAATGCTAATTAAAAGTCCAAGTTATGAAGATAACGCATAGGTTTGTAGCGATCTGTGAATGTAATCAAGGACCCATCAATCGTTGAAACTCTGTATTTTTTTTTTTTTTTTATCGGATCCCAACTCTGTAACATAGCCAAAAACGATAGTAAAATATCAGTTAGCGTTTTCGGAGTAACGCATAAACGTTATAAAATTTTTATTCAAAAACAGATTATTACACATAAAAATCTGTGCTTAGAAATTGCTAGTGCATGTATTTTAATTTCAATGTTTACCTCTTGACTTGCTGGAATATGAAACAAAGGTGATTTTCACCTAGTTTTCAAAGGTTGTGTTACTTATTTTAAGGTATATTATCAAAGGTGTAAAATTATCGCGAGAACATTTTCAAAATCTTGAACAATTCATCCAAACAAAGTAATCATGACCGTAACATGGCCCTGATTAACATCATGAGATGCTTTTCACTTCTCGACTTTTTTGTTATCAGTGACGCTTTAAAGTCTTTTAATAAACTAACCAGTTTACAGCAGCAATACTTGAGCCCTAAACTTTTCGCAAAAAACCTCATTTGTTACGGCCGGTAGCGCTAGCTAGTTTAGCGCATTATTGTTAATATGATACGTGGAAATTACTTGCGACCATTAAATAAACAATACAGGTGCCAGAATCGAAACAAAACGCTTACGTCTCCGATGATTAACCACGAATCAGGCGAAACAGTTCAACTTCTAGTGGTATTGAAACGCGTGTTTCTGAAAATTAAAGAGTTCAACATGTGGAATCCGGCATCGCTCGAGGACTAAAAGAAACACACGAGTCATTTTCTCGCTCAGATCAAGGTAGATTCAAGGTGGAAAGAAAAGATTATTTATTGTGAAAACAACGAGAACGATCTAAAATTGAAAAGGCCACAGGAGGTACGAATACCTGCTGCTTTAAAAGATGCCTTATTGTACAAATTTTTAACTGATTCAATATTGTCCAGTCTGTAGCCATTGATAAGTATGATTCCGATATATGCAAATTAACAATTTCTAATATTCGTGTTAGTCACGCAAAGTTACAATACACTTCAACCAAGCTTACCTCAAGCTTTGTTTCCGGCTCTGCTGTACAGTTGCACTACAAATCTTACTCACTCATGTTATAATAAAAAGAAATAAACAGTCAAAAAGTAAATTGTTCCAGAAAGTATCATTCCTCTGTGTTTAATTTATAAGTAATTTATGAATGTCATTCAGACTTATTGGGACTCGTTAGATGCAGTTTTGCAATAAGTTTATGAAATGGAGAACACAACAATGAAAAGCGTTGCATATTTGATATAAGTTACTACCGTTCAAGGTAAGACTTCGCGACAAGATCACAATATGCCAGATCAGTCATGAGATGACTGTTCAGCTATTTTAAAACTTGGTTAAAGTTTTCCCGCGATAATATTGTACTGTACTGTACTGTACTGTACTGTACTGTACTGTACTGTACTGTACTGTACTGTACTGTACTGTACTGTACTGTACTGTACTGTACTCTACCCTACCCTACTCTACTCTACTTTACACCATTAAACAACTTGAAAAATGAACGAAAAAAATTTCGCGACAGTATTGAGAAAAAATACTTACAGCTCTACTGGAAGCAAGGATATATATATTTTCTATTTATTTTTCAAGGTCGCTTTTGAACATTGCCCATTGTTTGGCAAATAACGTATATACGGTGGGTAAATAGCACTTGTGACCGCAAATACAATATGTGCAGCAGTTTCCTATATAAAAAGTCTTGGTTATAGCTTTTTAGAGTCAAGCTCTGAAACCTTTGGAGTGACAATTAAAAAAAACGAGTCCAAAGCCAGGTTTTCAATGGTTGTAAACAATTGTAATAAAAGTAAAGACAAAACGGCCCAGCCTCTAAATGTAAATTTTTGCGACAGGTAATTCTATCGGGTTTTAAAACAAAGATGACGAGATTCATTAGCTGCCAGCCGACAATTCACCAAAAACGCCTTCTTTACAAATATCAGCTAATATCAGATGTTTTAAGATAATAACCGATAATTAAGAAAACCTGACAAAGCCGATATGTTTCCGTATTACCCTCGCCAGGTATCGTTTTACCTTCATAAGAGGATACATCTTATTCGTTAATTGCAAAACAGCAGGTTACAATTTCCAAGGTAATATCTGATAAGTTGCTAGGCGGAACTAGCTTTCTAATTATTTTTCCACTGCGCGACAGCAAGTGACAATATTACAACTATGAACTCCCAAAACCTGCAGTTAAGAAACACCCTGTGTGATTAAGGTAAAAATAACATATTAATCAACCAAAATTGAGGTTTTTTTATTTATAAACAGATGTCAGCGAGAAGTGATATTGGAAAATTAATAGCAGCTAACACGGAAACCTGCTGCAAACGGCCAATGGTTTCAACCATTTCTGAAACGTCACTTTAGAAGTTCGAACTCAAGATTATAAATTGTCTCATGTTAGAAAGACATCAATGTAAAAACGTAAGTCTTATTTCGAGCCCGTTAGAAATTTTAATGCAGGTTAGTAAATAAAACTGCATGTTATTACTTTGAAGCTAATTGTTAACCACAAGATTTAATTTTGGAATTCCGAGCCATATGTAGTTCGCCTAGGCCAAGCGCTGATTGAAATCACGCTTCACAAATTCAATTTCATCTTACACCAAGTACTCTACTCGTAATCAACTCCTTCTCAATTCAAGTTTAAGTAGCTTGAAACATTTCTCCTGACATTGTCGGCTTTCTTGAATGCTCAAAATTAATTTACCCAATACCAGCCAGTACAAATTGTTACCGAATATGAAATGAAAATTCAACCAAAATGTATGCTCATTGCGTTCTGTTCCACGGAGTCCAAGGATTGTAATAATTGATAATAATTTTCCTTTTATTTAGAACCTTGTACCTTAGTAAAAGGTTGTTTCCCGGTATATAACTAATATAGATATTCATTATCGGTCAAAGCGATCGCGCGCTGATAAACCTGTTTAGTTTTCTTTGACTAATCGCCGATAATTATTTTCTGTCTTAGAGGTAAATTCAATCTTGGGCGCTGTCATCAAACAAGGGATAGTCAAGACACAATAAAGTCAACTCCACATCAAGCAACATTTGGGTTTAAAAACCTGCCGGTCCATAAATGTCGAATAACACAGATTCTGAGCTACCGAATGAAACCATAAGAAATGTCAAACTGGGCTTTTACATCGCCAGCATAATAATCGGTTTTATTGGTAACACTTTGGTGATTGCAGTCATTTCGGGCAAGAAAAACAAACGGTCAGTTTATGATCTTTTTATTCTGAATCTTGGAATTGCGGACTTGAGTTTCATCGTTTTCTACATGCCTCTATACATCTACGAGCATCTTAGCTCAATCTACAAAACACTATTGTACTGTCGACTTGTGCAGCCCTTACTGACCATCTTCTATTTTTTGAGCATCTTCACCATCGCTTCTATGGCGATCCATCGCTGTAGGTTGATTACCAACCCTTACAAACGCAAGATGAAGAAGCGAGGAGCATATCTGTGGATTGCTGCTATTTGGATTTCTTCGTTCATAATCGTCTTACCATTGTCGATCGTGGCAAAAGTAAAAGACGGCTACTGTTTAGAGAACTGGCCCTCCATGGATCATCGTAAAGCCTACACGCTGGCGCTTTTCCTCCTTCAGTTTCTGTTGCCTTTGTTGATCATCGCGGCAGCATACCTAAGAATTGGTGTTTACCTCTGGCGATCAGCTGATCCACAAAGCTCTTTATCCACAGCGAAGAAGAACAGGGCACAGAAGAGACGGAAACAGAACATCCAAGTCATCAAAACACTCGCATTGATAGTGATTCTTTTTGCTATCTGTTTGCTTCCAGGTCAAATCGCTTGGCTTATGTGGGACTTTGGAGATCAACATGACGAACACATCGTCGATGTGATTTTTATTTTCTCCGATATTCTTGATTGCTTGCACGCATGTGTAAATCCAATAGTCTATGGCCTGTTGACTGAACAGTTTCGTCGACAATACATCAGATATTTCTCGTATTGTCTTTCATGCGGAACAAAGCAGGTGAACACAGAGCCTGAAACGCGAAATGTGGAAAGCACGGTGGAAATTTTATCACCAGCTAGGAATAGAAGACACCTTATCTCTGAGGAAGTCGAGACAGTGGCGAATAACTAGAAGGGGTCACCGGCTTCTAAAGATATCAGTACGTGCAGGGAGAGTTCCTCTCCAAGATATTCCTTTTCTTGGCAGAACCCTACCCTATGCACAAACTGGCATCCCGTGAAACCCACGTCAAATCAAATCAAATCAAATCAAAACTTTACTTATCGAGGGTGACACGTAATAGTTTATCAACTAATAGATTTGTGGCCCTCTTAAATGTACTAAAAGTTAAAAATCTACTATAAACAATAATCAAAGATTATCAATAAAATATCGCAATCTAAAAATTATTATTTAAAAAAGGAGTAAAAATCTTATCCTTGAGCTGACTTAATTTAAAATGTTTGTGCAAAGCGCTCTTAAGGATATTTACAGATGAAGAGGCGCGCAGCTTAAGGGGGAGATGATACCAACATTTAATAGTCGTTGCAGAAAATGTGCGACCTCCCTCTTTCGCTCTATTAAATCTTATCGGTAAAATGGTAAAATTAGCGCCCGTGTATTCCTATTGTGCTGGCTGTTATTTAGTCTTAATAAATCGTTTATGTATAACGGGCAAGCACCCATAGTCCTTTTATGAGCTATTGTACATCTTTTTATATCAGTCTCGATGTAATATGGTACCCATCCTAAGGTATTAAATAGATCTACAGTGCTATGGCGTTGTTGGGCGTCAAGGATAATACGAGCACAACGTTTTTGCAGCCTGAATATCTCACTTATGTTGTGTTGGCTGCAGCAGCTTGTCCATGTTACGCTGCAATATAATATCAATGGCTCAATTAAAGAGTTATAATAAAGTATACGTTCTGCTCTTGGAAGATAAGCCTTGATTCTGTTAAGTGCACCGATACGCTTCAATATCTTCTTACATAAAGAGTCGATATGAATATCGAAACTGAGTTCTTCATCAAGTTCAAGGCCTAGCAGTTTAACGTTCTTAATCTGCTCTAATGTGCTTCCTTCGAGCTCTATCTCAAGCTTTCGACCTTCATCGCTCAAACGTTTCCGTAAGCGCGGTCCATCAATTAGCATTGTCTTCGTCTTGGAACAAGACGGTCATCTCTTTGAAAACTACTAATTATCCCATGTCTCATAGTAACTCTCATTTTTTTTAACTTGGAAAATATTTATATTTTCCAAGTTGTATTCATGGGACAATTTCACTCAATCACTCCTTCACTTCCTGTTAGAGATTTAGAATCCCAGGGGGAACTCCCATATGAGAAGGTCAGGGATGCTCGTCGGAAAATTTGGATTTAGCTCCTAAAGGAGACTAATGTGGGCGTTGCTCGAGCATCATTAGACCCCTAAAAGCTACCACTTAAAAGGAAATAGGTTTGATTACTAGCCACTGTTTAAGGATCCCGCACGCACTTGTAGGCCCGACTCGCGTACTCGAGAGAACAGCGGAAAACAAATGACAACGTTTCTTTTATTATTTCTTCGAGTGCACCCTAAAGGATACTTTGACAAATAAGAATCATTCTTATTTGTGGCGTGATGGTGATGGTGGCGTTCCGTCATCAACACCCTAAGTGAGACCAGAATCCTTGATTTGTGCCCGAGACGACGAGAATCCCCCACCTTTTCATATAGGAGTCCCCCGCCCCCTCCCCTCCCCCGCTGGGTTTCGAATATCGCGCTGTCCAAGGCCGTTTTACAGTCGTTTGCACCGTGTCAAGTTAGATATTCTTTGGATTTCTGACGCAAGTACTCAAAATCTTAATGCAGAAATGATCTACGTTGAATAGATTTTCGCACGGACGTTTTTTAAAGATAGAAGCTAATTATAAACGAAAATAAACAATTTTTTTCCATGACCTTTCCGAGTTTTCCATGACCAAAGTTAAGCAGTTGTTCTCACAGCAGTACCAAAACAATTTGAACCGACACTACCAAACCTGATCCACTCTGACCAAACAGGCTTCGTAAAAGGAAGATCACTGGGGAAATATCCGACTTGTAAGTGACATAATGGAATATACGAGTCTACAAAACCTGCCTGGCATTCTAACGTCACTAGACTCCCGTAAAGCTTTTGATTCGACTGAATGGCCCTTTATAATGAAGACAATAGACCATTTTAATTTTCGTAGTGACATCAAGCGCTGGATTAGGATATTCTACCCGAACACAGAAAGTGCGGTACAAAACAATAGTTTTATAACCAGTTGGTTTAAACCACCAAAAGGAGTTCGACAAGGTTGCCCCCTCTCCCCTTATTTGTTTATTCTCTCTGCGGAGGTACTCTCAAATAAGATACGTCAGGATTTCAACGTGAGAGGAATCAAAGTCTTCGGTAAGGAAATCAAGCTGTCTCAATTCGCTGATGATACTACTCTTTTCAATGCGGACATAGAATCTTAAGAAATGGCCTTGAAAATTGTTAGGGATTTCGAAAGAATTGTTGGTCTGTCCCTAAATGTAAAGAAAACGAAGGCGCTTTGGTTGGGGAAATGGAAAAGTAATAGAAATAAGTCTCTCAGTCTGGATTTAAAATGATTCCACAGCCCTGTTAAGATACTGGGGATATATTTTTCGTATAATATTAAGGAGAATAACGAGCTCAACTTCAACAAAAAGATCCAAAAGTTGCAAACTAAGCTGGATATATGGAGTTCACGGGACTTGACGAAATTTGGAAGGGCCATGTTAATTGAAACCTTGGGTATATCGCAACTTATCTATTCGGCCTCTAATCTGGATGCTCCCAAAGGAATTGTGGAAACTGTAAGAACAAAATCTTTTAAGTTCCTCTGGAAAACAAAAAAGATAAAATAAAAAGATCAGGCCTTTACCAAGACCTAGTCAACGGTGGAATACGCATGACCGATTTTGATATTATGTTAAAAGCCCTAAAACTCGGCTGGATCCTAAGACTGTTGCGGACTTTGGACAATAGTAATTGGTGTATTATTCCAAAGCATTATTTCAGAAGAAAGGGAGCTTTAAACTTTCTACTAAGGTGCAACTATGACACAAATTACTTTAACGACCTCCCGTTCTTCTATAAGAAGATACTAGACTTCTTCAACGAATTAAAAACTCTTTACTCGTACGATCAAAAGCGAGAGTTAGTATTGTTTAATAACAAAGATATATTGGTGGACGGGAAACCCATCTTCCTTAGTGAATGGTTTAAAAAGGGTATTCTATCGATTAATGACCTATTGAATGAAAGTGGCAATATTTTAACATTCCACGAGTTCCGTGATAAATGTTCCTGTGGATCCAATTTTTTTACAGTATTATCAAGTTGTTAGCGCTATTCCGGAACGCTTAAGGTCTCTAGCCAAGTGCTCCGACACCATCAACAAATCAAGCTTTACCGGAAATGATAATATCTTTTCCCTCAACGAATCGACACAAATTAATCTGTACAAGGCTAAGTCAAAGGACTTCTATCATTTGCTGAACGTCAAGATTCACACCGAAGATCAAACGGGCCCTAAACGTTGGAGCGAAAAACTCTCTTTAAAGAAAGACTTGTGGACTAAGAACTTTAAATCACTGAAAAACATTCGCAAGGAAACTAAACTAAAAGAGTTTCAATATAAATTAACCCATAGAACCATAGTAACTAAGAAAGAACTATTCAGATATGGTATTAAGGCGGACGATGAATGTCTATAGACCCTTTTCATAAATGGTTGCCAATTATAAATTCTTTTGTAAGTATTAAAATTAGCCTGACTAACCTGGTTTTTAAGTAGACAATTCAAAAGAATTTTTACTCCCAAACGAGTTTAGTGAGGCTAATTTGAATGCAAACAAAAGAATTTTAAATTGGCAGCCATTTATGAAAAGGGTCTATACTGCGAAGATAAAGATTCAATTGAGCACTCTTTTATCGAATGCATGTTTACCAAATTGTTTACCCAAAAGATCTTGAACTGGTTCAACCAAGTGAATGCGTGTCAAATTTCTCCTACCACTGAGGAGACCTTGTTCGGTATTACTGCAAGCTCCCACGACACAACAATAATACGGAAATTCAACTACACTGCCTTACTTATGCGGCATTATATTTATTCAAGCAAGTTAAATAGCCTGGCCATCTCCGTTCAGGTTTTTTATCAGTAAGCTACTCATTAAATACAATCTTGAAAATTTGTCAAATGTTTTACTGAGAAGTACTCCTCCCTCCTCAAAGTCAATATACAGTATAACATTGTAAGTAACTGTATGTTCAGCAAGTAAAGTAAGTAGAATATTATATTGTTAGTATAGTGTAAGTAGCCCGTATTGCAAGTAATTGTATTTTGTGTAAGTAACTGTATTCAGTATTGTATTACCAGCATAGGTAACCCGTATTGCAAGTAACGTAAGTGTTGTTCTGTAAATACAGTAGCGTTACGAGACCTCCATTGTAAGTAATGTTTGTAGAATTGTGTTTTGTAAATTAAAATTAATATTATTAAAAGAAAAAACTTAACCTACGGATTAAAACCTCAAGTCAGTGGCATCAAAATTGTCACTGTTTACAGACGATTCATTTTCCAAGTTGAGTGGCTCAAAGCAACTTTGATTTGTTTGGTATGTCTGGATAGCCAAGCGACAGCTAACAGTAACTGTTTTTCCGAGCCAGAAAGATACAAAACTAAAACCAACTGTGGTTACGACATGTTTTCGCTTAATTTTGTACTCCTTTCTTGTTACCATAATTTACATACGTGCGCATTTATTTCATTGGCGATAGGGCTTTTTTCTGGTTTTTGGAAGTGGGAAAAATGGACCCAAAATTATGCAAATGAGGCTACGAGAACGGACAAAACAAAAAACTTAACGAGCAGAAATATGGCTATGCACGTGCGCTCGTTTCGTAACCGTCCTCTGCAAAACAGCAACGTGAAATGACCAAGTTCTGCGTACTTTGGAGAACGCAAGGCAAAACTGATACTGCTGGTAGTTTAAAAAATTATTTTCAAAATTTTCGGCGAAAAGAATCAAACGTCGGAAAACGGCTTAAAAACAGCAGATTTGGTGAGTTTTCTACCACGGAAATACAAGAAACAACAGGCAATGCCATACCAGAAACAACAAAGGCCGCCCAAAACAGGCCGTTCAACACAACTGGGAGAAGTTTCAAACGAAACACTCAATTAGTCGTAACACTTCCGTAAATTTTGTTACCTTAAATTTGGATCTTGTTCTTTTATACCTCAGCCAGCTTGATCGACTCGAAGTGGTCATTTCACACGATCTGTAGCCTTGGCGAAGCTGTAAAATAGTAAACTCGTTTCATTTGACTTGCACAATACAAGCACGTAATTTTCAGTTACGCCATTA